TGCTTAATATGATGTGTGAACGCTGGCCATGTCACTTCTTTTCCAGTCATGGATTTATTTCAAGAGCCAAAATACACAATACAGTATATACAGTATGAAGAAATTATAGGCAAATGATGGCAATCTTTCTTGGGAATACAATATGAAAGGAGGTGGAAAACATTAACTTTCTCTTCTATACTGTGTAATCTGATTGGAACCATATCCCTCACATGGCTAGGCTTCTTAAGAAAAAGGTTTTCACTGGTGCCAGCACGAACTCTTTTTCCCATCTTCTACTATTTGTGGAAGGGCATTTTAGTTCCACTTGCAATGGTGATAAAAGAGATAAATCTCCTATCTCAATTTAGTGCTTTATCAGTAAGGAATGTCCATACCTCTGAAACTAATAACAATACTTAAAAGTAGAACTAAATGCTATTCATTAATATGTCATTTGGCCCATAATCTCCTTATCTTCTGATTTCTTAAACTCTCCTCTTTCTTATTGTAGGCAGCCATTCTAAACAAGTCATAGCCTATGCTCCTGAGAAGAAAAATTAGCAATGAGAACATTAGTTCCACTCCCACCAAATGCCCTGTCATTATTCTCATTGTTCACCAAATGTAGAACACAACCTTCTATGGCAGGAAGCCTCCTCTGTCCATGAAACTTTTCCTGAAATCTGTAATCCTGGGAAATCAAAATTCAAAACCAAGAATGGACAACCAGCAGCCACATGCAAGCCCTAGAACATCTGCAGATCACTTTGTTTTCAATTAAAATATTAGTCAACGTCTATGTATTAAGAAATCCCCTCATCTCTATCTACCCAGTAATACCACTACATCACTGAATAACCCTCTGTGGTCCCTGGAAGCCAAAATAATAATAAGTATAACCCCCACAATGAAAACAGTTGCCCACTCCTGTTCTAAATCATATGGACAAGTTCTATAGCAAGGCTGGCTACAGCGCTGAGGTTCATTGTATGGCCACTAGAGACCCTAGGATTGCTGAATATGGTTATATGATTTCCCATAAAATTTCAGTTTAAATAAAGTACATTATAAGGCTTCTAGAGGTTCAAATCATCTTTTAAAGAATAGGACAGAGAAGATCAGGCCAAAACTCGGAGGCTTATGCTGCCCAATGAAATTATTACATCATTGCTTTATCCCCTGGGGTCCATGGTCACTGAATTTTAAAAGTATAATTAAAAGCATTACACGGAGAGAAGGTTTCCTTATGCAACCAGCAGCTTTTACAATTGGCTAAAAATACTTATAGAATTGAATTAAGTAGGACTACTGGCAAGACAACTTATTAGCTTCTAGTCTGAAACAGTATAAGTAATGCTACAAGGAATTCTCAGGGCAAAGTATATGACTTGAATCTGATACACCAGCAATTTGAAAAATGTACATTGGACTTTACAAACAAGATTCAAAGGTCTTATATGAACAAATTATAGTTTTTGGACAAATTAATGGCCAAGCTACTTATTCAGCTGCACATTATCTCTATAAGAATTCATTGATAGCATTATGTCATTAACAACTAGCAAGGCTCCTAATCCAGTTTCATCAAATTGGTATAAGGCATTCATCCTTTGTTCCTATGCTGTTGGAGGTATATAATATTTTTTTAGTAATTATTTTCTTTTTCTTTTAATTGTGCCTTTGTTAAGGAGATTAAAGATTCTGCTGACTGTGCAAG